GCATTCTTGTGGTTGTTGAATTTCAACTGAGAAACACTCGTGATATTGTGGTATTTTAGGCATTGAAATTCTGGACGAGGAAGCCGATATGAAAGACATGCTTCAACGAAGACAGGAAAATCGAAAGCAACCTGCTGGAACATCGGTATGTTTGCAGCTATTTTGTTCAGAATGCGATTTTTAGTAGGCATGATGAGGCTTTTGTGCTGATGTTGCGGGGAAATGAAATGCTGATTCTTACTTTTGATTTTGTGATTTTTCAGAAGGTGGAGGCGGAAATGTTAGCAATCGCACGAAAAGGCATGGAAAGCGATGAAGCTACGTTCTCGGTTGAACAGCCACTAGAAGCTCAGGTAATTTGGTTTTCATTTCGAATGATTTTGCTGATGCATTATTAGGCTGGGAACCGCCAGCTATCCCTTAGAATCCCGTTCCCTACCCTCCTCTAGAATCTTGGCGCAAGCTGCCGTTTTGAAACAGCTTTTTTCACTTTCTTCATCTGTTGACTTCGCGAACTGCTGGAACTACCTAGCGGTCCTGGCTGAATGCATTCCAAAGCTCCCACATCTTATTACTGGAATAAACGAGGTCTGCCAAGCGGAAGGTCCACCTTGCAGCAATTCGACGTTGCAAGTGAAATGATTTGCGCGTATGCGCAGTAGGAACTAATCAGCTTAACGGTAAACAGTAAATCATCTTCACGTTGCCATGTGTGACTTGAATGGAGGAGGGCTTTGCGGTTGCAGTAGTGTTCCTTTCCCTCCCCCTGAGAAGTGCGCAGAAACGCGCTGTGTGGTAGCGATACCCGAGTGCCGACTCCATACTCCCTCTCCGCTGCCGTAACGGCTAGCCCTTTTCTTAACCATAGCTAGACGCGCTGGTTGTCTGCGCTCTCTTCTATTGTGGTTGTTCTCTGCCGCCCGCTGAGTAAGTGTTTCGCAACGGGATTTTGGTATCGACGCAAGCGCTACGCATTGAGGATAGCGCGGATGGAATAGGGAGACGACACCCGCTATCACCGTCCAACCCTTACCCGCATGAAAATGACCGTCTTTGGGGGGTGAATGTACAATCTCTCTTGAACGCGGGAGTGAAACAGCATGTCGAGTCAAGTGGCTTGTTTGTGCGTGTCGCCACATCATGAGTCTTCCGGACGACCCCGTAGGAGGCACTTTTCATGGATTCGTGCCTCTTCGTTGTTCCGCACACTCTGTCAATGTAGTTGCTGAAATTCTCCTTTCTAGTCACACTTGTGGTCGGACAAGTACCGCCCACGCAAGCCGACGTATTTGAATCGAGCGTATTTGAATCGAGTGCAGACAGGATTCGATTGGAACAAGTACAACCAAACACACTACGATATGGACAATCCGCCACCGAAAATCGTTCAAGGATATAAGTTCAACGTAAGTTTTCTGCTCTCCCACATCTGAATTTAGATGTTCTATTTAGTACAGAATGTTTACAAAAGTCACTTCCCCCATCTTTTGATGAATTGAGAAAATTTCCGACTACAATCCCGAATTTGGGTTCACTGTTGTCAATCAGTAAAATCGTAACTGTTCCATTTGCAGATTTTCTATCCCGATTTATTGGATCCGTCAACTACTCCTTCGTTCACCGTCACCCCTTGTGATGATCCTGACTTTGCCGTGTTGCGATTCAAGGTATGTGTTCTCGTTGCTTTCATTTTAAAATTCTCTTCTTTTAAGTTCCGTAGTAATTGGGGAACAAATAAGGCAGTGGGTGTCCTCAGCGAATAAAGCCAGAAGTAGCCATAAAACCATATCATTGTCGTGATTTGTGCTCGAGCTACTGCTATATATACTTTAAGGCGATATAAGAAGACCAGGTTCATCACTAATTTCTCCACCTAGAGACTTGACGTCAATTTCTTGGCACTATTCAATGTAGTTCGCTACATACGGTTGGGCGTGTCAAGCGGGATGAGTTTGCTGGAGCCAAAACCGTTCTCTGCGCGCAGTTGTTGAAAGCGAGCAAATGATATGACTGCAATCATATCGGTTCGTATCACTCGTTTTCTACTCCCTTTTGTCGTCTGCGCGCTTCAACAAGAAGGCAGAGAACGGCTTTGACGGGGTGACACACTCATCTGCCGCCCAACCATCTGCAGCCAACGTAGGTGTATTAACCCGAACTCTAAAGAGAAAATTCGGTCAAACTTCCACCATACGGGTTATAAGGTGCCCTGATCGCGAATATGACATGCGTTCTGAAAACCGGCTTTTCTCTGTTATGATTATCTGGCGCCATGGCTTTTTCACCAAATGGACACTAGAGAAGCTTGATGTCCTTGTTATGAATATGACACCCATTCTGGGACCTGCACCGACTTTTTACGAATTTCGTATACTATTTTGGCACTATGAACGTTAAAAGATCGGAATAGTCTCAGGAGCCCGGAACTCTTGGCTATATTAAAGACAGCGAAGATCTTCAACTTCGCTGTATAGATCCAAGTACTTCTGGCAGCCATCACAATCGTGGTACATTGCGCTGAGAAAGTGAAGTGCACTGCATACTGTGTAAAGTTATAGTATTACCTGGGGCCTATTCGATGTATCTGAAATTCTGTGAAATATAATGCACTCTGTGGCTTTTACATACGCATTTTTCTTCCGAGTTTGAATAAAACTGACTTTTTCTATTCGGTTTTTTTACATAATAATATTGTAATCTCAAGGTGCAGGACCTCCTTATGAAGATATTGCTTTCAAGTGCGTAAATCGTGAATGGGAAGTGAGCCATAAACATGGCTACAAATGTCAATTTCAAAACGGTGTCTTCCAACTGTGGTTCGTGTTCAAGCGGTATCGTTATCGACGATAGCGTTTGTGTCATTGTCAGTTATTGTTGTTATTGTTACACTCACGGATTGACTGGTACTTGTGCTATTTTCATAGCAGTTGACTATATTCCTGTATATTCTAGTGCTTGCTTGAATGAAAATTGTTATTTATTGAATAATAAATCGTGCTGATTGCTGCTGAATATAGAGAAAAGTTTGCTGCATCGAATATCTCCTCTGCTTAGGCCTTTCTGTCTTGTGACGGAATTTAAGCCGAAGATAGCTTTTAGATGTCTTTAAAAGACAACCTGCTGCGGTTGCTGTTCACTGTAAATGACACTGGCTTCATTTTGGTGAGTGCAGCGGTTTTCCTCGTGGACGCTGTTATAACCTTCTTCATCATTCAAAAGGTCCCATGTAAGTAGCTTTTTCTGAACGTATGTTGCTACCTTTTAACTCGTTTTTTGCATAGTGCATGACTTCGCTCCGAGCATTTTCGAATAATTTTTAATCAGTTTTATTGCTTTTCGTGTACACATAAGACACGAATCGAGTCACCTGAACCAAAGAAAACGATTGATATGGGCATTTATTACTCCCATCACACTGGGGCAGGAAATTTCCGCAGCGCATCTTTCAATATGACCATTTTCTGTTCCAATCCCATTATACGCAGAGCTCATTATCGATAGGGTTCCGCAATGAGAGGAAAAAAGGTTCCACCTGAAACATCCCTTTTGCAATGGTTTTCCGTGGTGAGTCAAACGTTTCGGTGACTCAAACGTGCGGAAGCACTTCTCGTAAGTTCCCTTACATATCTTGTATGTGAGTACTTGGTCTACTTTGAACATCCTGCTCATGTTGTGATGGCTACTCCATCTGCTGACTTCTTGAGGACCCATTCCGCCATTGCAAATCGTCAGTTCTGAAGTCTGAATATGAATTCGTAGGTGCCAAGTTTCTTAGCAGTGAGTACAGGAGCAGACTTTACCCTAGAAAACGTCCCAAATAACACCTTTTTGATTTCAACCTTGGCTGCGGTAGACAGAGACGCGAAAGCGCTTCTGTAGAGACCAAGAAGGCACGGACGGGAGTCATACGGTAGCGTACACAACAACCGAGCAGAAAACGGGCTTTCCACTTCACTCACGTATACAAAGACTATTGGAGAAAAACCTTGCCCAGGCGATGCCTGTGATGAGGCTCCACTTGTCGCGGTTCCACCGCCACTCATGCTAGTGAAAGTGAGCGTCGTCATTTTGCTTCGATGAGGCGAAGATCACTAAAATTCATTTGATAGGAGTAACTCGCATTTTCAATAATTCGCAGGCACTTGATAGGAGAAACCGTTTTCAATATTTCACAGGCTTCGCGGGTGGTGACCTCGGGTTCTTCGGGAAAATCCACAGCAGAGTTAGTATGGATTGAAAACAAGGAACTTCAGACACTGAAATTGACTGGTCAACTTATATGCAACAAGTAGGAGTGTTATACGGTAAAGCAGATTCGAAACTATTCTGAAATTGGAGGCGACACTGGTCCAGTCGTGTGAGTCGTTAAAAGAATGGTTTTCAATCATGCAAATGACTAGCAACCAGAATAAATGGACGTTCAGTCATGGTTAAGTTCTAAAGTAAATAGGGTTTGAGTAGATTTAGTTGTTGCTTCCTTTTTTCGGTTCAGTTGACAGTAGTTCCACATTGTAGTGGTGGTCGTTAAGGTATCCAGGCGGGACATTTATGGACATACAGTGTCCTTCACGCTTTAACAAGTGGTGGCAAGGATATTCGCACAGCACAGTATATATTCATGTGCCTTTACCTCTTGAATTTGTTGGCTGTTCTTCGTTTGTACTACAAGTCAAATAAGGTGAATTGACTGCATTACTTTATGCCTATTATCCTGTCCGTTACCATTCAATTTTCCAGATTGCCCCATATGTTTTGGTGTTTTTGTGTTTCACTGGTTATCGAATTCATTCGATTTTTGTTCTTCGCCTTTTCAATGATCCGATTGCCATGATGTTCTTCTATTTGGCGGTCAACTTTTTCATTTCTGAGAAATGGCTAGTAGGATGTCTTCTGTATAGGTGAGTGTAGTGGGCGCCTGGTGCATTAGTTCATATTTATTGTTTTACTTCAAGTTTTGCCGTTGGCATCAAGATGAATGTGTTGCTTTTTGCTCCGGCCCTATTTTTCATCCTCCTGCTGAATGTCGGCGTCTGGAAGACAGCTCTAAATCTCATATGCTGTGCTGCTGTGCAGGTTTGTTTTGGCGTTCTGATCTATTCTTGCACATTTTCAAATGGCTTATATACTTTTGAGCTGAATAGCGTAAGGATAATTGGCCTTTTACTGGTTAACCTTACAAAACTATGTTTCTAAGCCTTCCCATCATGGATATCGAGCGCTCCGTCTTTGTGCCGTCGAAGATGCCTCTTGGACCTTGCGTACCCTGCAACCTATTTGACTGATGATTGTGATATCGGTATTTTTGACACGAATAGCGCAGCTTTTGCTCGAGCTGAAAAATAAATAATTATTCTGAGGGTCATATCTCTAGCGGAGTGACAACTGTCAAGATCACTGCCGGATAAGTTCAGCGCGCGTCATACTTCTCCTTGATGTCATAGTATTCTGGTTACGCGCTCGAATGTGGTCATCTGTACATAAGTTCTGGGTATGGAGGTATTTATTTCATTCAAACATCGTTACATGGAAATATTTCGCGCGCTGATAGACGATAAATGTCGCTGAAAATCCCTTTGTGCACTCCAAATGGGATTATACTGGGTCAAACTCCCCACACCAACCGAATCTATCTCCCCTCCTTATCTTAAAACTCGTAACATGTTGTGCTAAACGTAACTCCAGCTGAAAGAAGGACCAGTGCTTAGAGTATTGTTTGTACAGGTATTTATTGGACTTCCGTTCCTCATTCATGATCCGGTCTCTTATATCCGGCGCTCCTTTGATCTTGGTCGAGTCTTTCTGTTCAAAATGGACGCTGAACTGGCGCTTTCTACCTGAAAGAGTTGAGACAATCTTAGTTGCAACAATTTCATTCTGATCATTTAACATCTGCGAACCATGCGGGCAGATGTTTGAAGGGCAGGACGATCGATCACGCGACACATCAATAGCGATTATTCAGGATTTTATCTCCCTCCGACTTCACTTGACCCTACTATTAATTTCATACTAGTGAGGTTTTGTTAATTAGTATTTTGGGTAATCAATAATAGTGGTTCGGTGAAGAATTCATGGTATGTCTTTGTTTATTACTGCAAGTTTATATCAGCCGTTACTGAAGTGAAAAGCTGACTTTATCTTTGACTAAACGGCCTTATACACATTCAGATCTTACGGAGGTGTGCGGACCTCACTCATAGGGGTGTATCATGGCGTCAGAACAAAATTAGGAGTAGGAGGTGCTTACTGTTTCTGTGCTAATAATTATTTTGGTTATTTCCATTTTTCATTTTAATCTTGAATAGTTCAGAAACACTGTTCGCGTTATTCTCTGCCAACTTGATTGGCATTACGTTTGCTCGCTCCCTACACTACCAGTTCTATAGCTGGTACTACCATCAGCTGCCCTTTTTGTTATTTTGGAATTCCCATAGAGCACAAGATGACAAGCAACCTCTCGTCGTTCCATGGATATCTATTATTATCAAGTGAGTGAGAGGCTCTAGCCACTTCATGGTTTTTCTATAAAATATTGCCATCATGGTTCATCCTCCGAATATGTCTCACTTCAAACCTTCTTCTAGAGCACCACCACCGAACCTTGTAGATCTTGCTATTACGACAGTAAGCACCCTACTTATTTTACAGGATTCTTGTGAAGCTTTAGTAAACTTTCCTGAAATTTGGCAGATGAGCCGTTAATGAAGAGGACAGGGGATGCAGTGCATCTGAAAGAGGAAATTAATCAGCAATGAAGATTTCCCTAGAGGTAAAATTCGATGCCTGTCCTCCTGCTAATCACAGGTACGACCCTATTGTGACTGACAGAACGATTATGTGCCCTGATTGCGGTTTCTTATACCATCATATCAGTCAAAATTGGTATGTGATGAGAATCGTGATCGTGCCGTCGCGTGCGACATTGCGCTCGCAAATGGTGATGTGTCTAAGGTCGTAGAAGCTGACAAGAGCAGTGTATAACCAAAAATAGCCACAAACGTTTACGATGTCCCAGTCTATGTCAAATCTGGTGCTGCAATCGGCAGATTGATGCAAATTAAGAAAGCGCCACGCTCATGGTCGCACGCAATGGAGCGGCGAATTACGATTGTCTTGTCTTCTCCTGTTCGAAACATTCACATCACTCAGTGGATCGCTGAAACATCATACATTTACTAAATTGTTTTTAAAAGTCATACGGTCCTCAGAATAGAAAAGGAATTTCTTGATGCTGCTCACGATCTCCATTGTTTCAGAACGGCAGTTCTTATTGGAGTAGAGATTTGTT